TGGCGAAATTAGTCCAATAGCTCATCCATTCCTTACTGAATGGTAGGTCGAGTTGAGGGGTGGCACCAGTCCTGTAGAACACGAACTCGAGATCAGATCCATGGCATATACCCATTGTCTGCTCATCACATCCCTTCAAACGTCCGCCACTTTGATACGTGAGTTCATAGAAGTAGACATTCCTTGTGGTCGAGTGTTGGGCCACTTGTTTGGCAAACAGATATGTATTGCACTTCAAATTGATATCGCCAAACAGGTCATAGTATGCCCACCGATAGGCCGCGTAGTCATCCTTTTTGACATCTTTGAGATAATAGGCCAGCACTTCCCCCAAATCCATGTCACCGATGAGTCCTTTGATGGCATTAATGAATACCTCTTCAGTGATATTGCCTTTGAGTTGTGGGGCCACAAGTGAGCCCTCATTACGGACTACACCAGACTAGTCTAGGTGTAGACTTGTATTTTTGTATGTAAAAAATAGTCTACATTACTAGCTGTATTAATTTACAGAATTTAGCGCTAAAGTGTCTGTGACTGGACATAATATGAAAGGTAGAAACTTGCGGTCCTGTGCCGTGAGTGGCATATAGGCGGTGCCCACGAGGGGACCCACAGTTAGCTGAGTGTATGCGTGGATCTCATTCGCGTCTTTCACAGACACTGACCTGTATTATACTTTCCATCTTTGAACGCCTCCTGTGCCGTGAGTGGCATATAGGCGGTGCCCACGAGGGGACCCACAGTTAGCTGAGTGTATGCGTGGATCTCATTCGCGTCAACCTTTCGCAGGCACTCTAACCACGTCTTATCGTCCGTACACTTGAAATGTTTGGCCATTTCCTTGGCCTCCGCTAATGCCTGGGCTTTAGTATGAGTTGCCTTCCGGTTGTGGAGCTCAGCGCCAGACTGTAGTATAGCCCTCGCGAACAGCCCTTTCGCCAGTGGAGATAAAACCAGAGTTGACACTGAGCCACTACCGGCGCTCTCACCGAATATCGTTATCTTATCCTTATCTCCACCGAACAGATGGATGTTTTCTCGCACCTGTAGTCCATATTATTATCATAAATCGTAACATTTAGAAAACAAGTATTTTGTCTAGTACAGTTTTTGAATGATTATATTGTAAGTATAAATGATACTGGAATTTCTCTTAAAGCTACCTTCAAAACTGATCCTGATCACTAATAAAATCATTACTAACTTTACATTAAATGTATTTAATTATATTTTATTGTTTACCCATATATTCACATTCATATAGATTAATTGTTAGAATTGGATAACTTTTATAAATATTTATTTCTGTTGATTATTCTGTAATCTACCCTCATCAATAGTCTATAATATTATACTTCAAAAGTCTGTATTTCAGATAATATAATAGGTTTGCAATACAAACCCATTTTAACCCCTCGAGTTGATCCAAACGTCCCAGATTTCCGGGGGTCTCCTCATCATCGCCACCGTATAGGAAGCCCAACGAACCCAACCTGTAATCCACGGCCACATACACGACATCATAAGAGGCCAATGACTTGCCGTTATACATGTCCGAGAATATAGAGCCCGCTCTGTAACCCCCGCCATATATCCAAAACATAACAGGTTTTAAAGTTGTGATGTTATGGGGCGCCCATATGTTGACGTATAGACAGTTTTCAGAGGTGGGCTGATCCCCACCTAAACAGGAGGTCTTCTTTTTGGTCGCATCGATGATATCCTAAAAATATTTTGTGTTTATTATACAAAATAAATGAAAAGTTTCTTTGAGTTTATGTTTGAGTGGATTACTTACGGGCGAAGGCTTTGTAATAGGCTTTGGTTTGGCAAACCTCAGGGCACCGACCGGTGGCTCAGCGAACGGAATACCGTAAAATTGATTAAGTTC